AAACGATTTATAAACAAATCACGATTTCTCAAAAACGGCTTGACCGATCTAGCAGAATTTTCATTGCATAGTTAGCCTCAACTCTTACCTACTATTTGACAAAATTTCAAATTTTTTTACCCACCTTTATCTTTTCTTAACTAAAAAATCACCCTTGGCCAGGGGGCACCACGCACAGACATTCTCAAAAACTTTTGTATTTTTACATTTCAGACCATTCTACATCGTTTCCAAGCAAAATTAGAATTTTTTTTTTCCGGTCGGGATCGGACGATTGCAATGCTTCCATTCGGAAGCAAAAAGAGGAAAAATGATTGAAAGGCGCTAACGAACGATATTGTTTGAAAAAGATCTACCAAGTTTACAAAAAATAATAAAAGTTATGCAGCTTACCATTGCTCTTCAGAAAATTGAGTGACAGCTAGATGCAATAGTGGGCTACATATTTTTCATTATTTTTCAGCAAACTTGGTAAATCCCTTTTAAATACTATCGATCTTTAGCGCCCTTCAATAATTTTTCCTCTTTTTTTTAAATTATTTTTTTCATGACCATTCAACTGCTTCCACAACACAAAATTGATCACAAATTTTAATGTATTTTAGTTTCAAAAGATCAGATTAAAAAAAAAGTCGACGTCCGATAGACAGTCCACTCGGGCCTCAATTGCATACTTATTTTCGAATAAGAATTGTATTTGTATTTGTATTAATTTCCTTTTTTATTGTAATAAAAATTCATGATTTTTTTCTAGAATAGGGAAATCAAGTAATTTCAACTCCGAAAATATGATACCCTTCTTCGCATTTCCAGATTCTACATACATTTCTTCCATTTTTCAAACCGGTATTTTCATAATTATTGGAAAATGAGTGAAAGAGTAGTAAGCAAATTAATAGACGTTGGTAATAATATTACTGATCAGTAAATTACAAAACTGAGTGTCTATTAACCATAGGACAGCAGCCGTACTTCTACTATTAATAACAACCGTACTTATTCACTGCAAATGCCGTAAATATCGTGTGACCTTGATTAGAAAATTATTCTTGAATAATTCTTCTCAAGTCAAGCTTCATGAATTTAATTATTGGAAAAAAATAATACAATTTATGGGAGGGCTTGTGAAAAGAAAAAAATGGGGGGGAGGGTGTGAATAATCTACTAGGGATGGTTCATAAATAATAAAGACGAAATATATTTCAGTTCACGGTAGATCCATCTCCACTTCCAGCTTCTCTGATTCCAGCGGCTCGTCACGTAGAGATTTAAATAATCACCAAGATGCAGGGGGTTGTAAATGCGATAGAATAGGAAATAAAAATAAAATATGGAATTGGCGGATACTTATTTTTAATTAATTAAAATGTCTCGATACAATGAATAAAAAACTAGAATGAAGTCCCATTAGGGTTGTTGTCGCGAGAGAGTCAGGCTTAACATTTACTACGCTCCGGGCGGATCTTCCGCTAAGCGGAGAATACGGGTTAGAATATAAACTTTTGCGGGTGTACAGTTCCACTCGACTCACGCACACAAGAATCTACCATTCATGGATACATGTACGCACAGCTAACGCCAAATGGTGCCAACCGTAGCGACCGCGCGTAGCGTGTTTCTGTTTTCATGTCTCTCTCTTTCTCACTCAATGTATTTATGTGCACCTGTGACGCCTAACCTGGCAGATTAAGGCACCTAATTTATTGTTATCGAGTAGGAGAGGACAATTAACAGAAATGTCGAACCAATTGAAGTATAAGGGGAGATTTGTGAACGCAAATATGCTTAAGAAACGGCAGACATTTTATGAGAACATGAATCGTGAAAAACGATAGAAAAGAAGTTCAAGAGCGTGTTACGAAATCGAGTGCTTGTACAGGTAGAAGAATTGTGGATGTGCCAATCCTTGGTGAATATTTAAAATGCTGTCACCGCGCAGAAATACTTTCATTGGGAAATATTGAGAGTGAAAAGCGAATGGCGTTAAACTCTATCGTCGCCATCGAATGCAAGAAGTGCGACAAAATGACAATTGTACAGGGAGAGAAATATTTAGTAAAAATTACGGAACTTTTCACGTAATCCGTAAGCGAGACTCATTCTCTGGTAGTTTTTGTAGGGATGGACGGGAATGATTCTGAAACTGTGAGGGATTTTTCTGGTTTGCCACCGAAAAAATACGAAGAAGTTACGTAATTTTTCCGGAACTAGTGAAATTTAACCAATATTTCATGAATTATTCTTGATCAGAACATAGAAAGTCTTGAAAGTTCAAGACTTTTTGTGTAACAGATGCGTAATTTTTACGGAACCGGATCCGTAAATTTTCACTATACCTACTTCGTCGGTTATCGTACATTTTCGGGTAAATCCGGTCTCACCGAAACCGCCCAACAGAGGGAAGTCACGCTGTGCCGTGTTGTTAAAACTGTGTGCCCAAATAATTTTTAAAAAACCGTAACAGAAGGATCGAGTGCGGAATTGTAAATACCATTATAATTATTTAACATTTCAATACAAGATAACCCAAGACGTTACTCCATAATCGGCCTTGCCTAACATTCCCTTCTACCACACCTAACCTCAAACACCCACCTGTTTTAGCGCACGACTGTAATAATTATTAATTGATCATCCTAATTACTTCGTTTAGAAAAAATCGTGAAATGTTCAGTTTTCAGTGAGGAAAATGTCGGTCATGAGGGTCTTATCTAACTTCTTGTTCACTATTTGTTTTTTGTAGACCACGTTTTCTGATTTATATTAAAGTAAATGAAAAAATTAAAGCTGGAAAATGTATGTTGTTGGTTAAAAAAAAATTCAGGGTTCGTAAAAATTACGGATCCTGTTCGTAAAATTCGGGGACGGGGGAGCGTCTTCTGCGTCAGCGAAGGGATGAGTCATTTTTACGGAACTCTCCGTAAAATTTACGTGGCGCAAATGGAAAATTTCTTTAGTGACTCGGACTTTTTCTTGAATTTGAGTTCGCTCGCGGAATACGTTTCGAAACGTAATTTTTACGTTTCTTTTCTGTTAAAGTTTACTGAATATTTCTCTCCGTGTACCCACTGCAAAAATACATAATACCCACAATTCTCATCAGCACGCTTTATGTTGTAATATTGATAATTACTAGTGTTTTATCATTTTTACTACATCACTAATTCATTCGTACCTTTCTTAATTGATTATGTATTCTCAAACCTCGAGTCAATTTTTCCTGAAATTGGGTATAAACTGTTAGATATTTATTGCAAATTCTGTTGTAATTTCACTTCAATTTTCCATGTTAAAAATTCGCAATCAATTTCAGATTCAACTGTCCATATAGTTAATTTAAAAAATATATTACTAGCAGTGTAATTTTTTTTCCAAAATCAATCTATACTATTTTATAATTGATTTTGAGTATGAACAATCGATTTTTTATTTCTATTTTTTATTTGTATAGCGCTAATTTGGGATTTTTTGATAGAGTTTATTCGTCTCTAGCTATAAATTAATCGATACTTTTGTACAATATTATAAGGGATTATAAAATTGGAAGAATGAGTTATTTTCAATAAAATGAACGATACGATTTCTTCCCTCCTTTTCCTCCTGTTCACAGGCGTCCAGACATTTGTAAAGAAATTTACCCTTTCAAAACATCTCTTTCGGAAACTCCTGATAATCCTGGATCCTCTAATAATCCTCAAAATGGATTTGATACTGCTCTAGGAAGTATCATTAATATTATCATTTCTTATGATATGAGATGGTCCGCTCGAGGAACAGGTAGGAAATACGACAGTTTGAATGGATACGGCGGCATCATTGGTTTTCCTGAGTGGAAAAATTCTGGATTTTGTAACAAGAAATCGTAAGTGCAACCTCTGTAACATTGGTCTGAACAAGGACGGTCACGATTGTCGTAGAAATTTTGGGGGCAGTGCCAAGGCAATGGAGGCTGATGTTGCGGCCCAGTTAGTAAATAAAAGTCAAATTTTGAAAGAAGTTGGACTTCAACCTAGGGTGATTATAGGGGATGAAGAGAGCTCAACGATTGCCAGTGTACGTCGTGGTACTAATTTACAAATGTTCAAGCTATCTTATAAGAAACCATCTACGTAAAAATTTTGTAAGTGATTTGTATGAATTATCAAAACATTTCAAAGAGTTAAGAGACAAAAACAGCATCCCACATCCAAAAAAGTGTGTTGACTACGCTGTGCAAGAAGGCAAACCAGCTGAACTGGCTGCTACACTTCTTGTCATTCCTAATCATGTCGCAACGAGAATTGTGGACTGTGGTGCTCGCATGTCAACCCTCAGAAGGAGGAAAAATGAACAATTCTCCTGAAAGATCCTGAATTACATGAAGCGTTGCTAACTTTATTCGCAAAATATTCGAAGAATTCCAGCAAATTTGCTATGGCTGCTTCGAGTCAAGGAAATGAAAATGTGAAAGCGATGATGTCCCATAAAGCTCCTAACAATCGATGTTACAGCAGAACTGAGTCAGGTGATTTCCGATTTGCAACCACCGTCTGTAATAAAAATGATGGGGACATGCATTTGGTCACTGTCACCAATAAGTTACATATTTCACCTAGTAAACATATGGAAAAATTTTGTGAAAGGAAAGACAAGTTTAGGTATCAAAGGGCTAAAAGAGTGAAGACCAGAGCAGCCAAGGCCCGAAGAAATTTCCTAGCTCAGCAAAGAGATCAACTACGAAAGAAAACGGAATCAAGAGAGGAAATAAAATATCAGTGAAACTGTGGACTGACGATTGATTCGGATCAATCCAATTATTGGCCTCTCGATGCAGATTGTTTAGAAGAACTTCGAACTGCCCAACGTATCTTCTCCGGTTCACATGATTTTGTTATTATATATTTTGATATCGAACGATCAGGATTAGATAAGACTTGTGAAATTCTCCACGTAGCAGCTAAATCGAATGATACTTCATTCAATATTTACGTAACACCCAGGAAGAAAATCAATCGTAATGCATGAGAAGTTACAGATTAACTGAGAAACGAGGGAAGCAATATTACAATAATAATGCAGTAATATCTAGTCCACTGAGTGATGCTCTCGTCGCATTCAATGATTTTTTGAAATTGCTTCGAAAGCCGTGTATTTTGGTTGCTCCTAATGCTCCATTCGACACCAGGAATTTGATTCCAGCCATCATTAGAAACTTTCTAACTTCTTATTAAATTTCTAATTTCAGAAATATTTTTGGGTTCACTGATTCTCTAGCAATATTAAGGAAAAAGTTCCCAGAAAAGAAGCCTCCTGGCATGATGAAGTTGGGGAAATTAGCCGAAGATTTACTGGAAATCACTGGAATTTTTCATGAAGCGTTATTCGATGTTGAAATTCTGCAAAAATTGTCTGAAAAATTCGTATCTAATGAACAATTATTGCTGTACAAAAAGTCGTACTTGGAGTGTGTCATTAGAGAGTTACGAACGAAAATGCATTGACATTATTACCTGTACTAATGACTTTGTAGAGCAATGTTTCTGAGGGCATGTTAAAAAAAAATACAAATGCAGGTATTTCATGTGATATGTTATCGGAAGCGAGTAAGCGAAAAGGAGCATTAATGCAATTATTAGCAGAACGAGATGAGATGAACCAACCACGCGTTATCAAAAATAAAAAAATTATTGATAAAATAATTTCTTTCTTCAACAGTCATGATTCTAAGAAGAAATAAATTTTCATTATTCTATTATTCTATTCTTAATTGTGGTTCAATTCCAGTGTTTATTCAAAGTCAATACAATATATGAATTAATTACTGCATTTTTTATTCATGAATCCTTTCTTGACTATTCCAAATAGATTCGCGCCACTCGAGCGCCGTTGCCCGGTCGCGCGCACCATACCCATGCGCTCCGCCCACTGGGAGAAACAATGCTACTTTCAGAATTTATTGCTCTACTACAAAACTAACGATCACTTTCTTTTTTTTCAGTATATTGGTGATCAAAATTTCTACATTCTGTGTGGAGTGGTGTTTTTTTTTTTTATAAAAACGGTGAAAGGCATTTGAACCCATGTTAATTCAAGAAATCATATCTCAACTCAGAAACTGACAATTGGTTTTTTGTTGACTTCATTTTCAAGCGAATTTTAAGATCTATCTGCAGTAAAAATTATAAAAAAAAGTCTGTCGAAAAACGGGTTTACACGACAACAACCTAATTCTGAATTTACAAGAGCTACTGTCATCTGGTTGAAATCAGTCAAACAATTTTCTGAAGTCTATTCATTTGGAAAAATAATTAATTAATTAATTGAAAAAAAAAGTCAAAGTTAATTAATTATTGTAAAATAAGTGAATCGCGAAACTCCATTGTAACTAGTTGGAAATATCAAGAAATTCTAAGCAGAAAATTGTAAAATGAAATAAATTCAATGGCGAGAATTTCACCGGTTTCACGACAGTATTTGAAAATCACTCGAGGTGGCAAAACCAACTTCCAAAGTAATATTAATGAAGAATTCTGAAACATAATTATTACAAAATTGAAACCAAATTTATATAAAGAGTATTTTCACATCAGAGAAATTTAATTCTTCAAAGGGAGCCATTCACAAAATTAGTGGTTGAAGTGGCTTGAGATCCTCTCATGCAAAAAAAGACTATGAGGACTGAAGGACTCGGCTATCTGACACATCAATTGGAGAAACAATGAAAAATTTCCACCGACTCCTAACCTTTACCACTTCATTCACCTAATAATTCCCACAACTCCTCCAAAACCTCTAGAATATGAAATGGGTAGCAATGAGATCCTAAACGTCCTATCACAATAACAGCAGAACCGTTCAGACGAGCGGTAGAATACGAAGGAAGGTTTGATGAATTTTTTAGAATGGTGGCAAAGCATTACCTCCCAAGCCCATTACCCAAAAAGCCGATTAGAATTCATTATCCACATCTAAGTGTTGTCCGTTGTCTTAATTGTACTACTGTTATGCCCCAGAAATACCATTAAATTAAGCAATAGTATTAGGTAATTTCTCATTGACCTGGATAATATGACGACACGCGAAGTGGCACATATTATCCAAAACATGTAAAATCGAATCAAAGAATGTCAATGTTGTAATATAAACTATCCCGAATATTTGTGGTTTAAGTCCACATATATTCGTCATAATGTGGATCACTGGGGTGCAGTGTCAGCACTTCGCCCCATCAACGGCTATGGCCTTTACGTACACCTGGGACGTCATCCGATGTCTTTCCAGGTGTAAAACAAAGATAAAACACTTGTTGCAATCGAATCCACGATGAAATATAAGCTCGTGAGTTCGTTGCCACTGGGTCAGTTAGTCAGGTTGTCAGACACAGACAATTAGTAATCCGATTATTCGTCACTTTGCCTGATATTTACGGCATTAATCAAAGACTATATTTATTGAATAAATCGTTTAATCGTTGAAAAGTTGAATCTCCCTGAGAGATATTCATTTCTAATTATCTACAAGTGATCTATCCCTATCATCGAACCCAACCGCTCGGGTCTATAACATTTTGGTGGCTGCGCAATTTTGGGAAGACGGAGGCCTGATCAACCACTGTCTATCACTTCAAGATAAGAACGAGATAATATCCGGAGCATTGAAC